TTCGCCCCAGTGGCTAAGCGTGGTACTGCGACAAAAACCAACACTTCTTACTTACTGGCCGCCCCTATGAAACTGTTGACAGGACACCTTCAACTGGGAAAAGGATTTGATTATGACCCTTTGTGCAAAGAATTTTTAACCAATGGAGGGGGTGCATTTGTAAAACTTTCCAACTTTTTTTTTTTTTTGCATGATTCCGATATATGCTGAGTGGGAACATGTGGGCAGGCCCAGCAGGAGAAACACCAACGAGCATGCACATTGGGCCACACACAGCTTAAATAAACCCAGAAGCTGAAAACTTCATTTTGCTAAGATGTTCATTGAGCAACTTTCACTCAAGGTCCAGTATCCAGTCCTAAAAAAAAAACACACCCAAGTGACGCCACATTCAACACGTATGTGGTCTGTTCTGTTTTGCAGCATAAGCTACGATTCTGTTAAAAGGCAACATATGATTGTCATCATTAGATGATGGTTTCTACAATGCATTTATCTCTGTTATTAAACTGCATGGCCTCAGCAGACTGAAAGAAAATGACAATGACAGTTACTTTTCTGCATTTCAACTCTAAGATCTCTATTTTGTAATTTCAGATGCAATGTTCTCATGAAAACACGACGGTCAGATTTTCTTTCAGGCTTCGTTCAGAGCTCTGAGACGATCAAAGGTTCAACCTCTTATGTGTTGTGAAACTGATTTCAGCAACACTGGAGAAAAACGCTGTGGGTGAATGTTGTAACAATGTACACACCGTCATCTCGATGTTCTCAGAACTGTATTTACAGCTTTATCACACTTAAAGACTCAAATCACTAATTTATTGCCTTTTTAAGTTGAGCTGCCAAGAAGACATGGATGAATAAGTGGACACGATATCAGTTTCCTCCATGTTGCTGCTTTGATGTGTTGATGTTTCATGTGTTGATCTCTTGATGCACAATATTTTTTATTGAGGTCTGTTCAACACAGACCAATGTAAAGTACAAATATGTTCTGTAAAAATAAAAGCTTGTTGAAAGTTTCAAGGCTCGAGCGCATCATCATGTCAATTTAAATTAGAAATGTTATAGCATATTGCAAATAATCAAAACTCTCACCATTAATACATCTTCATATCTAAGTCCCTGGCATCCTTAGAAAATTTATTTTCTAATCGATATGTCTGTGTCCACTTTTAGTTTACTGCTCAGACCATTAAGAAAAGTTTAAACAAATCTATTCACTCAAGTCTGAATGTACGACTGTGATACAATTTAAATTGTTTTGTTCTTTAACCTCCGCCTGTGCTTCATGATGCAACCCTTCAAAATAAGAGCTATATTTTCAGGGTCCTTCAATGTAACATTTGAAAAAAAAAGCAGCACATTTTCTCGTTGCATTGCGAGATGATCCGACATGTTGGAATTCATCATTTTCAAACAGCTCGAATTTGAATTCAGATGAAAAAAAGATTTTTGGGAAAACTGAAATTCTGCAGAAAAAGAGGTACATTAGATTTTATAAACATTATACCTTTAAGATCTTTATGCATGATACCAGGAGACTTTATCAATTAGTATCATGTCACCTGATAGTGAAGGATTGTGCACACAGCATGTGTTAGAGTTTCAGACAGAAACATCAGACCTCTTGCAAACACAGACCATAACTGTCTGAAAGATCATCTACCAAAACACAAGATTCAATTTTAGCATGAATTCAATTGATTTATGTTGTAAAGTGTTGATCCATCCATGTTTGTTTTTGCTGCTTAACAGGGCTGATATGGTTTGAACTTATTAATTAGTAATGACCTCATTATGAACCATATACCATAAACCTTCACATAATTTATAATTTATTTTCTTCAGTCTATAAAATGACCCTGCTTATATTTGAGACGGGCGTCAATAAGAGATGGGCCTTTGATTATTTTCAAACAGAAGTTGTGCACAACAAAGACGAGAGAGACTATAAAATACTAAATGTACACCAGAAAGAATATTTAACTTTACATTTAACAATAAACAAATTAAACTACAAATCAGTAATTTGATCTTTCTTTGTAAGTGTGTGAAGAGAGAGAGCTCTCTAAATATGATCACTAACGAGTGCTGGGCTGGCCTGTGGAGCTGTGCAAACACATCAAATTATCTAAAGGTCTTCAAGCAGATTTTAAAGGGTTAAAATTTCACATGTGAGATGGAAAAAAAGCCTTTGTTTTTCTCAAATTCAACATTTTTTAAAACCAGCACAAGCGTGTGTCTTGCTGCTTTTTCTCCTTATTTCACAAACTTTCAGCACCAGTAAAGGAGCCTGGGCCTTAAATTGGGATGAGCTTTTATTATTAGTTTTACGGTAAAATTCTAATTATACACAGCTAGAGGAGGGTTGGGTTTGTGGGGGGGGTTACACACAGATTTATAATTCTAAACTTAATTTAAACCAAGTGAAAAAAACTCCACTTTGAATGCATTCAACAACAACTCATCCAGGGAGGCTAAGTACCATTTGAGGAAGTTAATGGAAAACCTCTCTTCCCATCCCGCCTTTTTAATAACAAGTTTAAAGCAGCTTCGTGTTTAAATAATAACATTTATGGTCACTAGATCTTCACGTTATGTTGATGAATAAACATCCATGTCGGAGCAGGATTGTATGATATACAAATATGTAAAATATACCGCATCATCAAGCAGTCATCTTTCTTTACAACTCACAGACCTAAGTGTTCCCTGTAGCTCTACTGTATGTTAGACCGTTAAAACAAAAACAAGGCCAGTACAAAGATGATTTCATAACTTATTTTTCTCATATATTTATATAGCGGTTGTTTGAACAGGTCAGTGGTTGAGATCTACAGGACATAATTACACTGGAATGAAACATTGCTCGCTGGGCAGCTGTAAAAAGGCATTAGTAGGGACCCTTGGCTCTCACAGGTGCCAAACCATTCCTTCAAAAATTATCTCCACACAAATACACTCTAAGGCATTGGCAGATAACACACGGACGATATTAAGCTTGAAGACACAGCGAAATACATGTGGCAAGAACACAAACTGAAGTGCAAGCGTCATGGCAAGAGTTCATCTCTCTCTCTCCGAGCATCTCACATCTGAGCACCGGTCTTTTTTCGTTCCCCCCCCCTCGAAGAAGTAACAAGAAGATGAGGGGAACGAGGGAGTGAATGCCCAAACCTCTTCCTCGTCATCCTTTGTGCGTCACAGAACATAAAGTTTATAAATAACGACCACCGGAGCAAACTTTCTCTGCGTTGCCTTCAGATAACTTTAGAGCGACCAAGAGGCAGGGCCAACTTTTCCGTTCGTGTTACAACAGGGTTAGATCATGGGAGTGTCGTATATGAAATCTGTGTCATTATGGAGCTGCTGAAACACCTGCGAGAGAGCGTTGATATCCCATAATGGTGCACACACTTCCTCTGTGTCTTTCCTTTGAAAATCCACTGAATCCTCGTCAGTCTGACATTCCTTCTTTTGGCATGAAACGGTCATATTTAGAGAGAGTTCCCTTTTGCTCCCAACTTTCGGTCCAGAACTGTATTTCTCTTCATCAAGATAAAAGGTTCACTTTCCATGAAAAACAACAACCTCAATGTTGCAGTTACACATTTCTGTTGTCTTGTGAGCTCGTTGTGAGGCTACACCAGGCAGCCAATCATCTGGCACTATCACATTTTGGTTTACGGGGTCTGATTTGGAAACCCTCAGCTGAAGAAGCTCCGTTTATTGATCTCAGAGGAAGTGCTGAGTCTGGGGAATAAAACCTTATGAAAACATCAAAAACACATGAGCCAGAGTCCACTGACCACGGGGACAAACTGCATCCCAAAAGACGTATGTGTGTCAACTGGAAAGGGAATAAAACTGCTTTGTTTACAGATAAATAAAAGCTTTTTTTTTTTTTTTTTTTTTTTTTTAAATCTAGTATGTTTGATAACCACAGATTCCCACTCATCTCAAAGGCCATCCTTTGCACCAAGTGGAAGTCATTTTTACAGGTTGACTACCTGAACCTTTTACCCTGCCTTTACAGAGAGCTACAGCGTGCTCTCTTTTTCTAAAAGAGTGTAACACCCACACTCTGACCTTTCAGTGCAGCAGATAGTAAAAAAAACTGTCAGTGCTCACATGAAGCTTTAGGAGATCAGCTTTCTGACGTGTATATATGACACTTGAAATTGTACCAAAAGAATTACCAGCAGGTGTTATTGTTGAAAATGTGAGGACGAAAAACAACTATATCAGAGTGAAATATGCTCACAGAGTTCTGAGTAGCAGGTTCGGCTCATGTTTTTTTTTTTTAATAGACCTTTCACGTGAAGGTGCAGTCTGTGTGCAGAGTCACTGATAATGAACCGTTTTACTACAGCGAGTGTGTACAGAGGGCGGGGAGAACGGAATGGAGGAATAGCTCGGGACAAAATTTAAATAATACTCAAGAAATATCTGTCTTTTTTTTTTTTATATATGACTCTATAAAGTTTTTCATTTTATTTATATAGATAATTTATTTTTTGTTGATTTACTTTTGTCCTCAAAATTCCCCCGAAACAGTGGCTACTTGAGTATTGTGATCTGCTTCCCATGATTCAAGTTCCTCCTCCATTAATAAGAATAATCCACTGTATGTCACTCCTCTTCTTCTTCTTCCTCCTCCTCCTCCTCTTCCTCATCTTCATCATCTTCCTCCTCCTCCTCCTCATCATCCTCGTCGTCGTCTTTGATCTCCAGGTATTCTAGCCCCACCTCATCCATCACCGCTTCTCCTTCCTCATGGTGACAATCTGATTTCTGCCTCCGGACCTCGCTCTCTTCAGCTGACTCCTCCTCCTCCTCCTCCTCCCCCTCCTCCTCCTCCTCCTCCTCCTCCTCCTCTTCCTCTTCCACTTCTGCAAGCAGCTCCTCATCCTCGTCCAACACATCCCTCTCTTCTTCATACGAGGAGATGGGGGAGTAGTGAGGGAGGTCGAACACGTGTGGGCTGCTGGGAGGTTCCGAGCTGCTGGGTGGAGGTGAGGCGGGAGGTGCGGAGACGGGAATAGTGATGGGCACCGGGATGGAAAAAGCAGGAAGTGACTCCGAGGCGCTGGTCACCTTGCTCCTCCTACTGGTCGGGTTCAGACTGGTCGTAGGGTTAAGAGGAGCGGAGGGGATGACCGCCATGCCCAGGCCCGAGGTCAGGGCTCTGGGTTGGGATGTGTACTCCGGATCTCCCCCGGCTCCAGAGGTTCTGGTCCACAGGGGTCGTGCTCGCTGCAGCAGAGTTTCCCGTCCAGCTTGGAGATGAAGAGGAGGCCGTCGCGGTGCTTGTTGCAGTACGAGCTGGGACACATCTCGCAGAAGGACGCCGCCTCCTTTCCGCATATGTCGCACTGATGCCAAGGACATTCCCAACGACCTACAAAGACAAAACAGACGAGTCCCATTTTTACAGGTAAAAGAAATCTGAGTAGAAATGCAAATAATACAAAAAAAGGGTATTAAAAGATATTAAAATTGGAATTTTCTGTCAAAAAAAAAAATGCCTCTTTTGAGTCAGTCAAAATAAAAATAAGATAAAAGGTAAAAAGTTTACCATGTAGGGAGTGACTGCACATATTTCACCCAAACAAAAGGAGGGTAATCGGGTTGTCACTGACCTGCAGGCCGCTTGGTGAGGTTGAGACAGTCGGCGTGGTAAACTTTGGGACAGCCGGGTCTCTTACAGGAAACCATCTGTCCTCCGTCTCCGCAGCTGAAGCACTCGTCCTCTCGTTCTTTGGTCACCACCGCCTTCTTCTTCCTCTTGCCCCTCCTCTTGAACTTACGACCTTTGTCATCGGACGGTTGGGGGGGGTTGTTCTGGATGAGAAGAGGTTTGAAAAGTACTTTTATCAATGTTGAGAGTTCACCTCTTCAAAAGGAAAACTTCTAACTCGGATGCTTGAGACATAATTTAAGTATTTCATGTGTAAAGTCTTTTCACCTTCGGCCTGACGCCAAGGAAGCCGCTGCAGTTTGGTGCTCCACATTTACACACCGTCTTCCCGTTCCCCAAACACTCCAGGTTGTAGTTGAAGGTGAGCTCAGTGCCTGAACAGATAAACAAACACAAACATGTAAAAAACAGGCTGCAGCTTTGGATTGTACACAAAGTAATGTCATGTAATAACAAAGACTGTTGATGACTTGTTTTAGGTCCAGCTGCATTGGGAAGGGCTGTTTGATTAAATGGATAAAAACTTCTTAAAATGTATTTTTTTACACAGGATGAGACTTAAAAATGTGCGTTCTTTCACTTCAATAAATTTAGCATGAGGAGTTTAAGAGGCAGTACACACAGATGTTGAATACAGTGACCTACAACTTTTAAAGTTTGGCATATATTATTGTTTTAATACTCAGCAAACCTATCACTGAAATCCAAAAGTCAAAGTCAATCTCATTTTTTTCTTCTTACAAATGCATAAAAACATTAATCAAACACAGCTGCAATGTGTCAATAAGACTCATCTTAAAGGTGTAGATGGTCATTTTTCCTTGTTGACCAAACCTCCAGGGTTTTCACCAGTATCTTATATAAAGTATTCATGTTTCAGCCTTAAGTGAGCCGGTGTACCTGCAGCAACGTCGACGAGAGCGAACAGTCCCACCCGGGTGTCTCCGCTCACCGTCCACTTCTGCGTCTCACAGTTGGGCTGACAGCAGTGGTTCATGAAGCGAGCCTCGTTCCCCTTTGGCCCAGCGTCGATGATTCGATCCTAAACGCACACAAAACATGAGCACACACACACAACACCAGACTTTTTAAGCCTTGTTTTTTTTTTTTTTTTTGGTGGGTCGCCAGTGTTAAAACTTTTAAACCAGTGCAAATAACTGCAGTTCCTCAAGTGTCCACATCAGGTAAGGTTTTAAAAGACCAGACGTCCAATACACACAGTTCCTTATTAAAATGTCTGTTTTCAGGGGCGCTGGTGGTGCAGTGGTTAGTGCGCGCGCCCCATGTATGGAGGCTGTCGTCTCGAGCGGGCAGCCCAGGTTTGCGTCCCACCTGTGGCTTCTTTCCCGCATGTCATTCCCTACTCTCTCTCTCTCCCTGATTTCCTGCTCTATCCACTGTCCTATCTATCCATTAAAAGGTACAAAAAGCCCAAAAATAAATCTTAAAAAAAAACAAAAAAAAAAACAAGTCTGTTTTCATAGCAGAGATTAAGCATGTTTACATCCTGGTACAAACATTGGGCTGAATAGAAAATGTCTTTAACGGCACACACTGTGCAGAGGTTAATTTAAAAAGAAGACTTCTCAGTTTTGATTTTATTTATAGTTAGAGGCGTGACTGGTCTTTCTCTCAGGTGGACGTGCTGTAGCTGTTTGTCAGCAGGCTGAAGGCCCGCCTCCGCTCCACCTCTTCACCTGTTGCTTGATTGAACGAAAGTTGAAAAAGCATTTCCAATATTGAGACCGCCATCGCTGGACTTTAAATTTGTACTTCAGAAACCAATAGGTGAGGTCAATGAGACTATGTCCATGTTTTATTCAGTCTATGGTTGGGCCTCACTGTCGTCACTGTCGTTCCCTTCTGGATCTCTCTTTATTTCTCTTTCCTCTTTTTTTTGAGGAAAGATGATCTACAGAACAGACCCCCGCCTGCTTCTGATTAACATCCTGATTTGAATTGAAATTAAAAAAAGGATGAAAGACACTGAATTGGCCTTTAAGCCGAAAAAAGTGCGCACACGCACACACACACACGCACACAGACACACACACACAGACACACTCTCTCTCTGTACCTTGTCCAGTGTGAGCATGTAGAAGTTACAGATGTCGTTCTCCTGAGCGTGTCTGATCCTGGACCTGCACTCCTCCTCGTCAATCATCTCCCCGACGTACTCGCTCACAAACTGACCCTGAGAGAAGAAAAGATCCATAGTTTAGGCTGATCCAGTCCCTGACCCAGTCCCTCTACGGGCTACAGTCGTTTGAGTACTATTGATGACAGTGATGTAGTTACCTTCTTGATGTCGTGGACACAGCGGAGACCCCAGCCTCGAGAAAGCGTCCTGAAGATCTCCACCTGGCTGTACTGACGCTTTGTGAACGCCTGGTTGAGACACCGCTCACCAGCCGGACAAACCTGCAAGTCGAGTCATTTATTTTTATACAACCAAGGAAATATACCAGTTTTATATCATAAACACGATTACACACATGAAGCTATTCCTTAAACAATATATTAAAATGAATATGACAAAGATCATTATTATCGCCTGACTCTGCAGCTCACCTGAGCTTTAGAAAATGTCTTTTAGCGATTGTTTTGGTTTCTAAAACACAACTTCACTGTTTTAATTCACCCTCAGTCAGCACTATCTTAAATGTGTGTTTTGTTTTACCCAGCACATAACTGCTCCCAAATAGAAGTTGGCAACTAGAGTCAAGTTTTTAGCAGCTTAATAGCCAGATATGTTCACCAGTAGTGGGTGGAGACCAAAACAGAGCTAAAAAAAAATGAGGAACTACTTCGCTTCAATTTTCAAATCAGCAGAAACATAACTCAATATGTTTTTTAGCGTTGTTATGTAAAAGCTAATAGTTGAATGTAAGCTAACACGTTTCCTGTGTCAGTTTTATAGGTGAAGTAGTTGTGTGTTGTTACAGCTTGTTTATGCTGCCCCCAAGTGGCCAAAGTATTAGTTAGTGCCGCTTCAAAGCTTCAAAGCTTCAAAGCTTCAGGTACATTTTCTATTTTTGTGTCTACATAAATTCATGTCTAGTAAAATTGTCTGGTATTTATCCATCGAGATGCTGTTCCGTCACTCAATCTCTAAAAAAAAATAATCCTAAAACAATTTGTCTTGAGAAGATTTTGTATCCTTGTGCAAAAAGGTTTAGTAAGATTCAAGTAACAAATACCTCCAGAAGAAAAGTACTAAAGCCCCTCTGTTTAACTCAATATGATGTTTTATATTGCTGTTTTGAAGTAAAGCTACTCCACGCAGTGACAGGGTTGAGACGGTGCAGGTAAAGGATACAAAGGTAACATAGTGAGAACTTGTGGTATCTTGTCACTTCAATGTTTTGGAGAAATATTTTATAAAACATTTGTAAAGTAAACAATGTTCTGATGTAGAGCGCGCTGTTCAATGAGACTTCTGTACCTGCGGGTGGCATTCATAAAGCAGCATGCGATTGATGCACTCTGAGTCCATCCCACACGGGCTCTCGTCTGACGCCTTACAGTTACAGCGCGGGATCTCTGATAGGTCGGCCGTGACGATCTGCACCTTTCCTATTGGTCGATTCACCTGAATGAGTCAGAAAGGTGGAAGTAAACGATCACATTTCTGAACGATGTTTACATTTCTGAAGAGGTAGAAAGTGACACTTAAATTTAGAAAATGTATTAAATGACATTTACTCAAGTACCATATTTAAGTAAGCAACTAACACAGAGACAGATGAAAACAAACCTTAACATTGAGCCTTTTTTGGACTAAATAGAGACAAACAAAAGAGGTTGTAACCTTCATATGTTTGTAGGGAGGAGGCTTCCTGTCGTTCTTTCTGTCCTCTTGAAGTTGACGAAGCTCCTTCTCCGCCTGCAGCTCCCTAAACCGCAGAGCAGCCTCTTCAAGAGCTGAGGACGAAGACCAACAGTCACATACCTCAACCATGATAAGTCATCACAGCAGCTTTAAAGTGACGACACAACCAACAACATAAAAAAATGACATGAGAGAACACTAAAAAAGAAAACTCAAAATGACGACTCTCCCTCTCTGCACTGCTTGAATTCTAATTTCGTTGAACACACTGGATTACCTTTCTTGTAGGTGGCATCAACACCTTTCCCCATCTTCTCTTTGCTGATGGCGTCCACGTCCATGTAAGGGAAGACCCGGGCCTGATACGTCCACAGGTAGTCATTGGATCCGAAGAAGTGAACAGGAAACTCCCCGACATCGTGCCTCATTCTCTGGATGTTCTCTGGGATCGTTTTGGGATGACTGACCTCCGCTGGCCACCACCTTCACAAAACAACACAAAAGACAAAGAAACAGAAACACTTCAGTAAACTTTGAGCCCTGAGAAAAGTTTGACAAGTCTTTTTTTTTCTGGGAAGTTACAAAGCCTTTAATATACTGTATGTTCAGCTCATTTTTGGATTAATGTCCACATACAGAAATCTATATTTCTGGCTGTTTTTGTATCTCTGGTTATTCCTTTGCTGTAGAAATGAGACAAACTGTGTCTCCAGTTAGACACTGACCTGTATCGGCCAACCTTCACCCACAGGATGTCTTTGTATCGAGGTTTCTTCCCAGCCTTGCAGTCGTTGCAGTACCAGCTGCCTTTTGGCATTTCCATTTTCAGACACTCCCGATGGAACGCAGCAGGACAGGACTCACAGCACAGCAGACTGCCCCCTACAGCACAGGAGGAGGTACGCACAGTTTATAAAAAATACCAATCATTAGTGTGTGCTGCGGACGAATGTAAGCAATAGTTTGGAGAGCCACATTAACGTTACCACTTTCTACCATTTATATAAAATGTCTATTGAACATTTTAGCCTCTGTAAGCTAATTGTTTGGTTTTAATTAAAAATAACCAAAATAACTAAAATAACCTTGCATGTTAGTCACAGGACTTTATTTACAATTTCCTGGAGTTTCAGGTAAAATTCCCAGATAGTAGGATTGTTCGGTTCTTAACAGTCAGTTTTAATTCTCTACAAATTGTAAATATTGTAACCTGAAATTAAAATGTACAAAGGGGTGTCTGTGTTTGAACTTTAAAGGAGGAGCGTGTTAACCTCAAAAAGGATGATAAGTTTAACTTTCAGGAATCATTACGGACAGACCAAAACGACTTTGAAATTATGGAAATGTGCTTTTTAACTTTTCTTTTCTTGTTTTTTTACTACAGAGGGTCAAGAAGAGTTGAAACTGTATGGTAAATATGAAGCGTTGGACAGTTAGCTTAGCATAGCAGAAAGAGAAACTGTTAGCCTGGACTTGAAGCTAAAGTTCCTCCACATGTTCTTAAAGAAGCACCTTCTGTGCAGACAAAGCACCAGCTGACGTTGACGTGTTCGTGGTTTTTGACGCCGCGGCGGGCGGTGAAGTGGTTGGGACAGATGATGCTGTTGTTGGAGAGGACCACGCAGCCGGCTGCCATGCAGAGGTCATTAGCATGATAAGCTACGGGGCAGCGTACACATCGTACCAGACGACCTACACACAAACACACGAGATTGAAAACAAAAAACAGTCAGAGCAATGGACACAACAACACGAGTATTTACGGTGAAATATCTTGAGTGTCTTCTTGGTTCACCTTTAGAGATGGACGGGCTGGTGGGGTTGCTGATGAAGCAGGTGAGACAGACGTGGATCGAGCAGCGGAAGCCCCGCGTCACAGGTGCGGTCGGGGCGAAGCTGGCGATGCACTCCCCGTGATAAAACTTCCCACACACAGGAATCATACAGCGCCGCACATCCTCACTGCGCTTCTTACACACGAAGCAGGTGTGAATACCTGGGGAAAGGAAGTATAAAGCATCACCTTGAATTCCTTCTTGCAAAATATGTGAAAGTCTGTCAAATTATTTCTTATTGAGGAACAACAGAACTCCCATCGGCCGTCCAATATCTCCAAAATGAATACATTAAAACATTATTTGGCAACTTCTTAACAGCAACTGGCTTCAGGATAAAACAACAACTTTATGAATATCATGTAAACAAATAAATCATGCAACAAGACGTTAATCTGTTCTGAATGAAGGACAGGATTTAGGCCTCACTGTCTCTCAGTATTACAACATGCTTACTGTATCTACTGATTTAATTTAGTTGTTCAAATTCTTGCACAGCAGCTTCTTCTTCTTTCCCGTACAGCTTAGCTTAAAGACTAACCTGATTTGCACTCTGGACACACAAATTTCCCTTTAGGTGCTTCGGCCAGAGAGATGCAGGCGAGGTGAAACGCTCCACAACACTGACCCTCACAGAGCAGCAGCTCCCCCGTCTTCTCACACACCTGGGACAAATCAAAAACATCAACTTACTTTAAAAAGCAAAGTGTTATAATAAGAGGAATTCAAATTAAGTTTAAAGATCATTCTGCATATTTCCCAGGTGAGCTGGTGGCTTAATCATGGTAATATCATCTGAATTTCCCCGGGGATCCAAAAAGGAAAACATGACTTTGTATATGTAGTAAAAACTCTAATCACAAATATCATTTAAGTTAAGGTTGAAAGTGAAAGTTTTCTTTAACCCTACTACACCTGACACTAAAGCTGCATGTGTTTTCTGTGTCATTATAAATGAATAGAGAAGTCCTGATGGTCAGTAGTCTGCCTCTGTGGCTGTTTGAGACTTATCCTCTTCTCCATGTTGATAATCATTAGGAAAAAGTCCTATAGGGGGAAACTCACCTGACAGATGTTCTCCTTCATGGAGGCGGGGCCTCCTCGGTCACCTATGATCTTCCTGGAGGGTAAAAGTTGGTCGTCACAGAGAGACAACTCATCCTTCATGGAGGAGAAGCTTTGATCCAAGCTGGACTGTTCACCCTAAAAAGAGACAAAAGAAAGAATTAAAAAAATTAAAAAAACAACAACTCAGAGTCATTCCCTGGATCGCAATGAGAGAATAATATAAACTAAAAAGTGCTGACTGAGCGTTACTCAGGACGTTTCCTGTCTTTTCAGCAAGAAGAGAGAGTTTGCTGGCTTTCCTGTTTTAAGACACTTACAGACAAATCTTTCAGCTAGGTCTCCTTTAACTTTAACAGAAGTTTAAAATGGTGACAATAAACTATTTCTCTAATAAGCTTTGGGAAATCCATTCAAGCAGACAAGGCCAGTGGTCTAATTTTTTTAATAAAAATCCAACAAACTATATTGGGATTTTTATACATATGAACGGAGGATTTATAAAGGTAGTTCAGTCAGACAACTCAAGTTGTCCTCTTTTAAAATATTTATTGCAGCAGAACATAGTTGTGTTTGGCGTTTGGCATCTCCGACCTAATCACTCCTCAAAGTTTTACTTTACATTCAGAAATTTGAGGAGTGATGGGATGATATCTTAAAACGCCCTCTCGGAGCCTACAGGTGGTTATTGATTGACAAAATAATAGTCATTTAAAATCTCCTTTTTCTTTTCTTTTGTATATAGTTGAAACCTTCAACAGTCATCATAAACGTCTTTCCCCACAGGGATTGTGCACTTCAACATCGTTTGAACATGATTTTCCAAAGAGATTTGGAGCTTTCCTTTAATTTACCAAGGGCAGGATTAGTTTAGCTTCCAAAAATACCTTTTTTATATTAATTTATAAGCACAAAAGCAGGGCCTCATATTCCAAATATGTTTTGGATATGTCAGTTTTGACCAGTCTAAGATCGATTTAATTCCCTGAAACGACTGATAAAATATGAGTCCTGATACAAGAGCACAAAATAAGCTGTTGGCACATTTATAGTAGATCATTCCTCAAAATAGTTGAACTTTTCTTAAAAACAGAAGGAACAGAGATAGAGCAGTTGTCTGACTATGATGGCTGACCTCTGACTCTGCCGTGTCCTTTTTGACCTCTTCATAATCCTCTGCTTGAGGTGCTTCAGCGTCAGCCTCTGCCGTCTCCACCTGGGGGGGTTCAGGTGGGCTCGGTGCCTGAGTGGAGGGAGCAGGAGGAGCAGGAGGAGTGGGAGGAGGATCTGTCTGAATGGAGGAGGTGGGCGTGAGAGTCTCGGTGGCTGTTGGAGCAGAGCTGGATGCTGGTTGATGTTTACTCTTTGATTTCAAAGACGCTGCTCCAGGATCTGGTCAAGAAAAAATGTGTTTTTAACAATTTACCACAGAAAACACAGAAAACAAACTCAATAGGTTATTGACAATTATTTAATAAAGCCAAAACACTAATGTACATTTATCAACATTTCATTCAAATTTAGCTTCTCTGACATTTTAAACTACTTTTTTTTTTCTTGTGAGCAAGAGCAATACTTTTTGGTTTGGATGAACAATTGCTCTGTAGTATAATATTCCCTGTTGTGTGATGATTCACTGACCTGACTGAGCAACAGGATTTACGTTGTTCTTCAGTGCTTTAACCTGTAAGCAGAGAAAAATCAAAATCTTCAATGAAACCAGTCATAAAAGCATATTTTAGGAACTTCCTAATTCTTTTTTTTTTTTTTTTCAATAAGAGGAGCTCAAATAAATCAAGTTATAAAGTTTTTTTCTCCTTCATCTTCACAGATCCTGAAATGTTTTGTTCTTCATCATCACCTCAAGGTCTGTAGGCAACACTTTGCTTTTTTTTATCATGTCTGTCAAAATCTGTTGATTTCATTATCTCATTTCCAAGTTCTTATTCCACTTTATTTGAATGTAGTTATTTAAAAAGGGATGATGCAATTTAGCATAGTTTCAACAAAAGCTTGAAACTGATGAGCGGCACAGAGATTTTATAGCTAATGCTCATCCAACTCGTGTCCCTAGTTGGGCCTTTGGGAGAACAAACAGCAGAGTAAGAAACATTTGATCACATCAAACCACATAACACAACAGGAGGATACATTTAGCTAAACAGAAGAGAAAGAGAAAATATCCAAGCTGGGAAAAAAAAAAAAAAATCTTAGCTCTGTAATACAAAACTGCATAAAAACATGTAAATGTCTTACCTTCTTCTTTGGGACTGTCGAGGCCTCGGCCTCCAGACAATACTCCAGGATCTTCTGAGTAGGTTTCCTCTTCCGCTTCCTCCCCAACACAGGAGCCGATACTGTCAATAACAAGCAAGTGAATAAGGCTCAGTTAATCAGGTCCAGGTCTTTAAAGCTTGTGACGTCCTATAAAAGAAAGGGTCTTTCTCAAACTGGTCCCTCTCCACTCTGAAGTCAGGCTCAGAGCTAATGAAGCACCTTTTGTTCAGGTGGAGGGATCAGATACACATCAAGCTTTGGGATGAACTCCATTCACTCCCATTCAAACTTGATGTAGTGTATTCTAACCATGGTTTCATGTCACACAGTTGAAACAGTCCTTTAAAATCTCTCCACGTACCGACAAAAACATTCCTATTATTTGGTGGCATTTGTTTTAAGTGAACATCTTTTTTTTTCAATCCGATGTTTTTATCAGATGATTAGTTTTTGGAAATCCTTGCAAACATAAAAAAAAAGGTTAAATCGAATGAACATATGTACGGGCTGTAGATGGCCTAACGGTTAGGCCACGCCCCATGTACAGACGCTTTGTAATCCACGCAGGCGGCCCAGGTTCAAGTCCGACCTGCAGCCTCTTTCCTGCATGTCATTCCCCTCTCTCTCAATCTCCTACTCTATGGACTGTCCTATCAGATAAAGGCAAAAAGAATCCCCCCCCCCAAAAAATAAAAAATAAATACCATATGTAGCACTTTCACAGCTAGAAATGGTTGACCAGACCCTAAATATGTTCTTAACTTTAAGATTGTAACATACTTGTAGGTATGATACTATTAGGAAGTAGTAGTACTATTAGGGTAATAACGCAGAACTTTCATTAATGACGCGTCTCCCATGACGACAAATAAACTGAGTAACGCCTGTTCAGTAAGTCAGCTTTGGTGCAGACTCGCTGTTGGAGGGTTTGGAGGGTTTTGAGGTCCCCCTCCACCCTCAAAGGTTTTGGACGGCACTCTGTGGAGGACCCTCTATGAGAGCATGCAGGCGGAGTGTTAAACACTCTCTGAATCAAAACACTCAAGGTCTCCCTTGAAAAAGAGCTCTCTGAATTCAATGGGACTAACCTGGATAAATAAAGGTTAAATACAATTACAGTTAAATATCCTTGCAGCCTTAATTTCCATAAAGTGGAATCTTGAGTCTCCAGCGCTCATCATGTAACACAACTGTGAGCTTCAAACTTTAAGGCAACAGAACAGTTAAACCCGAGCCCTGAGCTTAACCTCATTCAACTTTGGGACGACAGGAACAACGTCTACAGGTGAGACCTCATTGCGATGCGATACAATACGATAAGATACGGTTCATAAACTATACTTTATTGTCCCCTTGGGGAAGTGTTTCTTGGACTCCATTGCTGCACACACTCAGCTTCCTCTTCAGGAGAATCAATAATTAAAAAAGAAAAAGAAACTAACAACAATCCTCTTGTAAACAGAGCCATGCATACCAATGTTAACCACAAACAACATATAGTGCACGTGCACAAGAAGAAAACAACCTAAATAAAGAAAAGATAGAAAACAACCTAATTAAAGAAAAGATAGAAAACAACCTAAATAAAGAAAAGATAGAAAACAACCTAAATAAAGAAAAGATAGAAAACAACCTAATTAAAGAAAAGATAGAAAACAACCTAAATAAAGAAAAGATAGAAAACAACCTAATTAAAGAAAAGATAGAAAACAACCTAAATAAAGAAAAGATAGAAAACAACCTAAATAAAGAAAAGATAGAAAACAACCTAAATAAAGAAAAGATAGAAAACAACCTAAATAAAGAAAAGATATGAACACCATGATGCTCTTGCACAACCCCTACATCCTTAAGACACAATTGAGTTTTTAAAGCAATTCAGTTTGCAGAGTGGAGGATGTGAGCTGAATCTAAGACAATTATCTCTGTGCTGGAGGACAGATGGTTCATATACTGAGTGGAGGGAGAGGTCTTCAGTCCTCCCCATATCCGTCATGGCAGTCTGCTTCAGATGAGCAAGCTTGGCTTTTAAACTTGCCAAATATAAGTTGCCCTACATCAGTGTCCAGCCTCATTTATTGCTGTGTCTGAATGAATGCAAATCTCTGCAAAAAATATTTTAATCTAAAATCTTGTCTTAAGTTTTCTTGAGGAGTATGACTGTGATAACAGTGGACTCATGCTGCATTTTTTGGAATGAAATGTTCAACAGTCACATAAGGATTTAATGTTTAGATGTTTACTTTTTTTCAGGGGTCCACATTCCTTCAGTCACATTTACCAAGATGACTTTTCTCCCACCTACAGAAGACTAATTCATGCAGCCTTAAATGCAGCGAAGTTGCAAAGAGAGCTACTTTCTCACCATTGTCTTTGACGAGCCCTTCTGGCAGAGAAGGGTCCGCTTCAGGAGGCGGGGTCAGTGTGTCAATGGAAAGCACCGGAGCCTCTTTGGGAGATGTGATTTCTGGATTGGAAATTTGAAGTTCAGAGGGTGTTGTTGCAGCCATTTCCTCTGGAGGCGGAGTCTGTATTTCAGGAAGCAAGTCCACTGGTGGGTGGTCGTCCGTGTCCTTGTCAAATTCTGGGAGTTCAGACGTTGATGTAACGGGCTGAGAGGCCTGGGGGGAGAAATGATGTGAGTTTACTGTTAATCTGTGGTTAAAGCTCAATGTTTAGCTGCCAGAAGTGATATGGGCTGCTTAATGCTTGTGTTCCAAGCACATGTATCAACACATAATTATAAAGTTACATAAGATCTTACTTTGTAGGATTTTTACCTTTCCAATTAACTGGAGAGGCTTTTTGGTTTTCTTCCTCGTGGAGAAAATCTGATCATACTCTTCAGTCCATTCAATCAACCTCTTGCTTGGTTTTCTTACTCGCTTATGTGCTGAAAAAGATAGAAGATAGTCACTTTTTAATTCCTTATTTTCATATTTTTTTTAGTATCTGTTTAGGTCTACTCCACCTTTAGGTCTAGTTTTCGCCTGGTTACCTACCATAGGCAGAAAAATGTATTTTTATCTGGATTAATGCAGGGTTAAAGGCTTTATATACGATTTTTTGATCCAGCAGGTGTCGCCCTTGAGCACCAGCATGAAACCAAAACAACTCGCGGTGCATTGTGGGTTAGCATGCTAATGCTAGCGGTCTTTATTATGCTGGTATCTTCACACTGCATGTAAATTTACCCGAAATGAGCGTGATCTAAATGCAGTTAAGCAGTGAGTACAGTATGTTATTCTTCTTTTCTCTAGTCCCTCAATTAAACAACTTTTATTCACGAGGGGAGGAGTCAGCCGCCATCCCGGCGATGTAAACAAACTGAAGATAGGACTCTGAAAACATCACAGACAGTGGGACTCGGGTGTTACACCCATTGTAGACAGTCATGATTCACAGAGTTATTTTCAGAGGATAAACTTGATTTATATTATATTTAAGTTTGAAAAATATATAAAGCCTTTAACTTAATCTGTGAGCGTTAGCACTAATAAATACCAAGCAGAAAATAAAAATGTGTTTCCTTGTAAACAGTAATAAGTAAAAGTATTCACCCAAATTGAGAACCAGTTTCTTTAATTTAACTGTTAGTAGTAGTAGAATAGGTTCATGAACAACATTTATAGTGATAACACCAGATTGTGCTTTAACTGCGCTTAAGCTACGTTTTGTAACTTTCCTAAAGATGATTGAAAGTAATCTGTATAAAAACCCTAAATGTTGAAGGTGTATGTGAAAACCGGTTTGAAATGAAAGCTTCTGCATTGGTACACCAACCGAAGTGCAGGGACCAGAGTCAAGTTTCTTCATAGTTTATTTCCTTTGCAACTTAATTCCACTTGTAGTGATGGGCATGGTATTCAGGTTATTTTAAAGCTGTCAAACAAAGAGAGTGAGCATGGCCTTCTGCAGGCATCATAATTACTCAGGTGTGGCCTAATAGGTTCAAGACAGGTGTAGGCTTAAAGGGGAAGTGGGACCTGTAACTATAATAGTGTGATTGGTTATTCCAGTCACTAGCTTGGAGTAGTGCCTCATTTGTGTTGTATAAAACCAAAATGGGTGATTATACTGGGTCTTTACTAATCCCCGATAGCCAAGGCTCTAAAAAGATAAAATGAGCGTAATATTATTAAAGTAATTGGGGAATATGCTTATCGGGTTGGAAGATCAACTTTTAATTGATATTGGCCAAAATTATAGATTTTTACAATCTGCACAGATCCTCAGGTCCAAGGAAGCAACATTTACAATTTTGGTATCTCATATATACACTGGAATGCATCTGTTGTTTTAACATCCATGAAAAGAGCTTCGCCCCCATCCATCTCCCTCTTAACAAGACTAGACTCACCTCTAGGTGGCTTGTCACCTTCTCCAGCTTTGTGCCTCAGACTCGTGTTTGTCTCAGTGCAGTCTGCAACAAGGCCATTCGGCTTTTCCAGACCCAGTGTAGTGTTGCATCCCGTCTGCTCCAAAGGCACCGTGTTTTGTAGATTCCCATTTAGTCTGCCCCACCTTTCCTCCGTCTCCTCAACTACTCCTCCACTACCCCCACTCTGCCTCTCCCAGCTGCGGGTCTCAATGCCCGACGGGGACTGAACACTTGATGAGCAATCCGCTACAGACGAAGAGTCCCTCGCAGGTAAGGGCTCCAATCCTGGGAAACCAGGTCCAGACCTGGCAGGATGACAAGGCACTTTGCGGTTTGCTTTCTTTCCCACCCCCCTTCTGTTATAGGACCTCTTTGATGTTTGATTAGTGTTGATATTTTGTGTTATTTCAATGTTGCCTGGACTTGAATTTGAATGGTTATTGACATTTTCCATTGGTTGATCATGGCCTGCTGGTTTAGCCTTCCCAGGCATCACCAAGGGTTCCTCCTTCACATGAGCACTTGGTGGCCCAATTTCCAATTCTAAAGGGGTCCCATCTCGCTCCCTAGTGTCGTGCAAGTCCTTGAGCATCATGAGAAAAGTGCTGAACTTGTAGTTTGTGTCTGCTTTGAAAGAGATGGGTTTACCATCGCCATCATTTGTCAGGGACTGGAAGGATACCTCCTCCACGTTTTTTAAGGCATTCATAAAAGAAAAGGGTGAGGATGGAGAGGATGAAGAGCTTACGTCCATGGACTGATCTTCATTCTTGGCCTTCACCCTCGAAGTTAGGGGTATAAAGTCCATTGGTGGAGTTGAGGATATTGAAAGGTCTTCATCTTCACTCTTGACATCAGATTCAAGGTCAACTGATTGAGACGACATCAAAGGGGAGGTTTCAAGTCTAGAAAATGTGTCCTGATTGCACTCGACATTGTCTTTACAGGGAGATTTAAGTTTGGCCCCAGGAGTCATGGGGGATTTGTCCCCAGATTGGCACACAAGGTCCTCAGCTTTTCTGCATTTTTTTACAAGTTCTCTCTGCTCAACCTTTTTTTGGGCCTTTTCACGCTTCTTCTGTTCCAACTCCTGCATTGCCTTCAGGGCTCTGGTCATCAGCCGACCGCTGG